CAGTCTTCAGAGGCAGGTCTCAGCAGAGGGCTGCCCTAGGTTGCCTCCTCAGGCCCACCCATTTTCTCAGAGAAGTTGGTAACAGTAATAAAATGCATCCAAAGCCACAGACTCTTTGTTTTTCTTTTTGTATCTATTTATTTGTTTTCCTTTTCTGTCTGCTTAGGTTTGCCTAGGAATATCTTTAATGAGCCTTTCAATAACTGCTCTGGGTCGACACCAAGGTGCGGCAGGCCCTGCCCTTCTCAGTTATTCAGGGAAGGCCTCCAAGGCTCAGCTATAATTAGAAGTCAATTAAATTAGAAGCCATTAATATGGTTCTTGGAAGGCCTCCAGCCCTGCTGAGAGCCTCTGGCCCTATCCACAGATTCAGTGGAAATCTGTTTCTGCTAACCCCCATCCTGAAGCTAAGGCCAGGGCCTTTGGGCCAAGAGGGCAGGTTCCCTATAGGTTCCCTTTGAGGCTGGCACCTGACCCTCCCTTGCTGGCAGGCTGCAGGTTGGGTGCCCCCTCCACCCCCCCATGCCCTTCACTGCCTGCCCTGGCTTGCTTCATTGCTAGAAGGAAAACACCCAGTGAGTTCACTACTGGGTGGCTGGTTCTTTAATCTTGCCTAGTCTGTTTAGTGTTTTCCAAATATAAGTGCAGCACTGAAGTGTAAAGCAGTGTCCTGAAAAGTGGGAACAGGCAGCTTTTGTACCTTTTCAAGGGGATCTGGAAATCTAACCCATCCCAAAGGCCACCTGATTGTACCCACTGAACAAGAAACACTTGCAAGGTAACTGGGCTAGATAGCTGGGGCCAGGAAAAGACCAGCCTCAGCCCTCCTATGCATTTGCCAGTGGCCCTAGCCAAGTCTGCTTCCTGGGGGGGGGGGGGTTGTCACCCCTGGGACAACCAAGAAGAGCCACTTTTTCCCAGAGTGAACTGTGTTTATGGCACTTTTCCTGATGACAAGTTTGTATGGAACTCTTCCAAACCATCCAGTCAATGTAGAACTGCATAAAATAAAAGTATATATTCCCCATGACCCTCCCTCAGCCCTTGGTCACCCCACTCTGTTTTAATTCCTTGCCAAAAACTCTTTGTTGAAGTGTAGTGGGTGTCACTCCAGATCCATTTCCATGCAGGTTGTTACAAAAAATACTTTTTAATGGCTGAGTAGTATTCTGTGGTGTGCATATACCACATTTTATTAATCCATTTATGTATTGACGGCACTTGGGCTGTTTCCACGTCTTTGTGAATGTGAATTGTACTGTAAACAAACATTTGAGTGCAAGTGTCTTTTTTATACAATGTCTTTTTTTCCTTTAAATCCCTAGTAGTGGAATGGCTAGATCACGTAGTAGGTCTGCTTTTAGTTCTCTGAGGTATCTCCATACTACTCTCCTTATAGTTTGCACTAGCAGTCCCACCAACCTTTCTCTCTGCATCCTCTCCAGCATCTGTTGCTTTGGGACTTTTTGATATGCCATTCTCACTGGATTAGGTGATATCTCAATGTGGTTTTGATTAGGTATATCCTTGATGATTAAAGACATTGAGCATTTTTAATGTGTTTGTTGGCCATTAGTGTATCTTCACTTGAAAAGTATCCATTCATATCTTTTGCCCACTTTTTAGTGGGGTTGTTTGATATTTTTTTCTTGCTGATTTGCTTGAGTTATTTGTAGCTTCTGGTTATCAGCCCTTTATCTGATGTGTAGCACAGCACACAAAAATTTTTTCTCATTCTGTTGGTTGTCTATTTGCTCTACTGATTGTGTTCTTGTCTGTACAGAACATTTTTTATTTGATTGGGTCCCATTTGTTTATTTTTGTTGTTCTTGTGATTACTTTTGGGATCTTCTTCATAAATTCTTTACCTAGGCCAATGTCTAAAAGAAAATTTCCAATATTTTCTTCTAGAATTATTACAGTTTCATGTCTTAGATTTAAATTTATTATCCATCATGAATTAATTTTTGTGAGTGGTGAAATGTGCAAGTCCTATTTCAGTATTTTACATGTGGCTACCCAGTCTTCCCAGAACCATTTATTGAATATAAATTCTTTGCCCCAGTGTATGTTTTTGTCTGCTTTGTCAAAGATCAAATGAGAATATGAGGATGGTTTTATATCTGGTTTTTCTGTTTTGATCCATAAATCTATGTTTCTGTATTTATGCCAGTACCATGCTGTTTTGATTACTATAGCTTTGTAGTATAGCTTGAAGTCTAATAAAGTGATGCTTCTAAATTTGTTCTTTTTGGGGAGTGGGGTGAGAGGACTAAGTCTCAGTCTTTTGCCCTAGGTAGAGTGCTGTGGCATCATCATAGCTCACAGCAATCTCAAACTTTTGGGTTCAAGCAATTTTCTTGCTTCAGCCTCCCAAGTACTGGGAGGCTGGGATTATAGGCATGGAGCAACATGTCCAGGTAGTTTTTCTTTTTTTTTTAGTAGAGACGGGGGTCACACTCTTGCTCAGACCGGCCTTGAACTCCTGAGCTTAAGCAATCTACCTACCTCAGCCTCTCTGAGTGCTAGGATTATAGACAAGAACCACCATGCTGGCCAACCCAGATTTGTTCTTATTATGTAAGGTTACATTGACTATTCAGGGTCTTTTCTGATTCCATATAAAGCATAGAACTATTTTTTCTAGATCTACAAAAAATGATGGATGTTGGTATTTTAATGGGAATTGAGTAGTATAGACACTTTGAGTAATATAGACATTTTAATAATGTTGAGTCTGCTGATCCAGGAGAATGATATATTTTTCATCTGTTTATTCCTCTGCAACTTTTTTCCTCAGAGTTTTACAATTCTCCTTATAGAGGTCTTTCACCTCCTCAAATATATTTCTAGATATTTTATTTTCTTTGATGTTACTGTGAAGGGTATTATGTCTTTGGTTTGATTCTCAGCTGCACATCAAAAGTAATCTGTCACAACCAAGTAGGCTTCATTTCAGAGATCCAAGGTTGGCTCAACATACACAAATCTATAAATGCAATTCACCAAATATATAGAAGCAAAAACAAGGACCATATGATTGATCCTCTCAATAGATTCAGAAAAAGCATTTGGCAAAATTCAGCATCCCTTCTTTGATAAAAAAAAAAAATAGGCTATCAAAAAGATAAAAACTATCGGCTCGGCGCCTGTGGCTCAAGCGGCTAGGGCGCCAGCCACATACACCTAGGGTGGCGGGTTCAAATCCCCAGCCCGGGCCCGCCAGACAACAGTGATGGCTGCAACCAAAAAAAAAAAATGGCTGGCGTTGTGGCAGGCGCCTGTGGTCCCAGCTACTTGCGAGGCTGAGGCGGGAGACTCGCTTGAGCCCAGGAGTTGGAGGTTGCTGTGAGTTGTGATGCCATGGCACTCTACCCAGGGGGATAGCTTGAGGCTCTGTCTCAAAAAAAAAAAAAAAAAAAGATAAAAACTATCTATTACAAACCCATAGCCAACATCATATCGAATGGGAAAAAATTGAAAGCATTCCCACTTAGAACTGGAACCAGACAAGGTTGCCCACTATCTCCACTTCTGTTCAACACAGTGGTAGTAGTCCTAGGCAGAGCAATCAGACAAGAGAGGGAAATCAAGGGTATCCAAACGGGGAAAGAAGAGGTCAAACTATCACTTTTTGCTGACAATCTGATTTTGTATCTAGATAACACCAAAAATTTGACCACAAGACTCCTGGAATTGATAAACAAATTTAGCAAAGTCTCAAATTACAAAATCAATATACACAAATCAGTAGCTTTCATATACACCAACAACAGTCAAGCTGAGAACCAACCAAATTTGTATGATTTCTTTTTCCCTCAACAACAGATGGTAGAGCCCTACATGGTGTTTTAGGGGACTTCCATTCTGCGGGACATTTTGTTGGTGTTTTGTCTATTGCAGTGGTAAACAAGCATGATATCTGCAGGCCCCACCTGTATCTTATCCACCCTCCTGTGACAAGAGCCACGGCACTTGCTGTTCCCCTCATGGGACAGCAAGAGAGGTGGCAGTACAGGTATATCCCTGGGGTCCTCAGGAAGCACGGTAGATACTGACCCTCACCAGCCTCTCCCTGTGTGTTTGTGCATTAGGTGTTTCTCCTAAATGTGCACTCTGTTTCCAAAAATCTGCCTGAGGGAGGCCTTGAGTCCTGGGGGATTTGGAAAAGAAAATTGTGTGTGTGCATCCACCCTCAGAGTTTGCCCCCTTGACTAGCATCCCAGGTGGTTTCTGGTCACCTGCCTGCTCTTGGCCATTCCCAGCAACATTCAGCTGCCCTTGTGTTGTTCAATCTAATTTCTTGATTTCCAACAAATAAATAATCTTTCAGCTTCTTTTCTCCCTAAAGCATTTGGGATGTTGTAGGTCTTTTCAAAAGAAAGGAAATAAGTGAGGAAGATGGGGGACTGGCACGGAGAAAGGAAAAAAGAAAAAAGAAAATGTCCCCTTCATCATAGTGTATTTTCATCATGCTATTTTTGTAGATGATATTAGAAATTACTGGTTGTTGTGACCAGGGATAGCTCACTGAAGATGAAGGGATTCTGTGAGTGAAAGTTCTTTGCAGGGGTCCCCAGCTGGACTTTTAATCTGAGTCAGTAGTTGATTCTGGAAGGTTCCTTGCACAATCCAGCCTCCAGAAGAGGTACTTAAAACAGCAGCATGCTGTTTTGTCGATGTCAAAGCCAAACAATAGTGACTCAAAGTGTGGCAACTAGGGGACTTGAGTGTCCACATGAGCACATCAACTCTCTTTGTATAGCCAGGTTAAGTAATATCAGACTCCTAGGTTCAATTTCTTTGAGTCAGAAACATAGGCTTTCCATTCAGAGTGAAAACAGGAAAAAATAACACCTCCTCCCTCAAAGAAGTACATTAATGTCATTCTTGAGAAGCGTCTTAACTCCACAGTGGGGTACAGTGGAGGAGGCTGAACCCCAGACTGGGGGGCCATTCCCAATGCCCAGTCAATGCTGACAAGGTATGTCTTTCAGGTGACCCCTTGGAAGAGAATGGCCCATGTAGGGGAATGTAACTGGACACCCTGGCTCCCTGTCCTGGTGGTAAGTAGGTCTCAGCACCTCACCCACATGTGCCCTCATCTTGCTAGTGGTCTGACTAGTTTCTTAGCCTCTTCAGTCTCAGCTGTAAAATGGGATAATGATCATGGTGCCTCCTTCCCAGGGTCATCCTGAGGGTGAGAGAAGACCAAGCAACGAGCAGCCTCAGACACAAATGAGATTTATTTAGGTGATAGCTCCCTTTGTAGTGTCTGGTTGATAGAAATGGCCTTGAGTGTTTATTTGCATTGTGATATACACAGCCCAATGTCTATGTGATTGGCCCTTGCTTATGGGCCACGCAGCTGAGAAAGATCCAAAAGATCCAGCCCTCCCTCCTAGGAGTTCAGAGGAGCCCACTATTTTAGAAGCTGGTAGGGTGGGTGGGGGATGCCTCCATGGCCTTGGTGGTTGTGTGGATGAAGAGGATCTGTGTGCAAGAGGCCTTGATGATGGGATGGGGCTTGGATAGCATGGGTGAGGAGGAGGTGGTTCTGGATAAGGGAGGCAGGAGGTGGTCATGCCAGGTGATTAGCTAGGAGTCAGTGAGACTTAGTACCTGTGATACTTGCTGACCAGGACCTTCCCCACCTGAGCCCCCAGCAGAGCCCTGCCAGCCCGGGCATACCTTCTTAAGTCAGCCTGGGCTCTTTGGGAGCTGACCCCAAGTAAGTACATGTGTTTCCAAGAAGGCACAGGGAGGAGGGGAGGGGAGAGGATGGGTGAAGAGAATGATATTGTGGGGATCACGCCTATGATTTATCCTATTAGGGTACATGTGAATTTGTCTGAAGGTTGAATATAAATGTCTTAACACAACAATTATAAGAAGGACATGATGGCTATGTTAGCCAGTTGGATGAGAGTTTTCCAAACTGCATATGGAAGCAATACACTGTATCCTATGATAGAATTAATGTACACAATTATGATCTAATAAAAAAAAAAAAGGCACGAAGGCCAAAATGACCTTCATTTTCATGGCAGGTGTCCCTGATGTGCTTGGCCAAAGCGGAATACTCAAACTGTGGCGAGAATGAGTACTATAATCAGACCACGGGGCTGTGCCACGATTGTCCCCAGTGCGGGCCAGGGGAGGAGCCCTACATGGTAAGGATCCTGCTTCCCAACCAGCCAGGCCTCAGGCCGTCTGGGGCCAGTGAGTGCTCCGAGGAGTCCTCCTGCCCACCCTAAGCTTGTGTTGCTGTAGGGGGCACCTCAGTAAATCAAGTCAGTCATGAGTGCTTACTAGACATGGAGACTTAAATGGCGAGAGGCCAGGATCAGTGCTTGCCAGCTGAGGGGCATGGCTGAGCATTTGTAAACAGAATTTTTTCAGTTCTTTTTTGTTTTTTGTTTTTTTTAGAGGATTCCTTTCCTAGTCTACCTCTATCAGGTCATCTGAGTTGGAAACCTGATTGAAATGTTCTTCTAGAGTAGTTCTTCAGTAGTTTTTTCCTGAGTGCTGCCTCTCCTTTCTCTGTGAAGCTCAACTACGACGTTCTGTTCAGTGCGAAGAAAAAACTCCAGGGTTTCAGGATTTGGGGTTCTTATAGAGAGCTGAGAAAAGGCAGATGCCAAAGGCTATGTCCGTTGACAGGGCATTCCAGAAGCTCACTGAATTCATTCCAGGGAGCCTGGGAAAAGGGGTAGCATCTGGAGCCTAAAAGCAGTGGGAAAGGCACAAGGCCAGAGCAGGAGCTGGTTACTGGGAGCTCTGCAATTAGGACAAGTCAGGAAGCTGAAGCCTGGCAAGAGTAGCTCCTAGAACCTGCCAGTCTGTCACTGTCCAAGGAAGGCAGGGCTGAGTTTTGTGGTCCAGCCACTGCACTCACTTATGCCCTCCATCCCTCTCCTTCCTGGCCAGTCCTGCGGCTATGGCACCAAAGATGAGGACTACGGATGTGTCCCCTGCCCAGCGGAGAAGTTTTCCAAAGGAGGCTACCAGATATGCAGACGTCACAAAGACTGTGAGGGCTTCTTCCGTGCCACGGTTCTGACGCCAGGGGACATGGAAAATGATGCTGAGTGTGGGCCTTGCCTCCCTGGGTAAGCACAGTCGCTGCTGGCAAGCCCTAGGTTACTTGCTACACAAAACCCTGAGAGGCAAGAGGCGAGGACCCTAGGAACAGGGTGGTGGTCCCCACAGGGCTCAGTGCAGCATCATGGCCAGCCCTTCTTCTGTCTTGTGGTGGCCATACCAAGCTCTGCCTCTTAAGTGAATCTTAACATCATGATGTCTTCTGACAACTCAAAAGAAGCACATTGGGTAAATACTTACAATGAGATAACACATGTCAAATAGTTGGAGAAAAGAAAACTAAAATTCCATACACAAGTAGTATTTTTACTATTCTCAAAACACCAGGGAGAAAAATCTATTAAGGGGAATGTTTGAGTCATGTGATGCCTATTTCGCCACAGAGGGCACAATTGGTTTTATATCAAAAGTCTTCAAAAAACAACAACAACAAAGTGAAAACAAAGTTTTCCCAAAGGATAGAAAGTTAAAATATTCTTTTTCCCAGGCAGGACACTCGGGCAATTTCGGCCTAATATATGCTCACCAAGAAGCTGCTTCTTCCTCCCTCTAGTGGACACAAAATGTAATGCTTTGCAAGGGCTGCTGACAGAAAAAAGCAGTGGTGAAGTCTCTGGTGGTAGAGCTGGTGGAGGTGGTGAAGGTGAGGAGGGAAGTAATGGTGGTGGGGGTGATGGCAGGGCTAGTGCAGGTGCAGGTGGTGGAGGTGATGGCAGTTATGATGCAGGTTCAGGTGGTGGGTGTGATGCAGAGATGATGCCGATGCAGGTAGTACAGGTGATGGCAGAGATGATACACATGCAGGTGGTGGCGGTGATGGCAGTGATGATGAACATGCAGAAGACGGAAATGATAGCAGAGATGATGCAGGTGGGAGTGGTGGGGTGATGGCAGAGATGATGCAGGTGCAGCTGGTGGAGGTGATGGCAGAGATGCTGCAGGTGCAGGTGGTGGGGGCGATGGCAGAGATGCTG